AGCAGTTCTCACACCAAGTTCTCTTCCTCGGGGGAGACAATTTAGCAAACGCTAGGTGACTTTTCATTTTTAACATAATATTGGGCTCAAGGATTTAATCAGACATTTCTTACTTAAATGCTCCAGTTCATTCTGGGCATAGGAGGTGGGGCAAGCTCAGGACTTGGGTTCTATTATACAACCAAAGATTCTTGGCTCTTCTTCCCGGGGCAGGAGAGAGGGGAAATCCAGCTACAACACTTTAGCAGTTACCTAGATCCTGACAATGCCAAGGGCATTTACCCCATGACGTGGGGCCACATAATGAGAGCAGGTGAGAGAGTCAAGCTGAGAGGCCTCACCTGGCAATCTGACTCAGCTAGAGGCAAAAAGCTCACATCTGGTGCTAACCCCTGCTGGCTCTAGAAAGACTAACTGTTAACCCTCCCACAGTCAGGTCAAGGTTGGGCAGAGTAGGTCCAATGCACTCTTTACATGGCTTTACATTACACTCCTACTTCCTATGCAAGTGGCCGGCTGGAGCTCAGGGATTCTGGGGGAGTCAGTCAGAAAATCCCAAAGCTCTCAGCCACCATTTTCAAAATCGTTAGTTGCCACAAAAAAAAACCCCTGTATTTTCAGTAAATTGGCACTGAACAATGAAACAAGATTTATGGATAGAATAGCTCCTTCATCTGGGTTATAACGCACACCACTATTAAAGAACTAGGGTTGGAAACACACGGCCTAACTGGAAACAACCTTGTTATTAAAAAGGGATGTGTGCTATTTTTCCTTTGCTAACAGAGAGTTTTGTTCAGCCAGTGGCCACAGTCACATGCAAAAATAAAAAGCTATTACACTATGAATCAGGTTTCGTTTCAATACCAGGAATGAGTCATAAAAGATGTTAATTTGGTTAGGCTGACAGACTGCTTCACATAAATCGTGTTCACAGGTTGTAGAGTTAGTGCTTATTGGTTATTAAAAAAAAAAAATAGGTCAAGTCTAAGTGCTTCCCAGAATTTTCCCACTGAGAATCACATTTGTACAAAAATGAATTTTCCAGGCACAAAAACCGAATGTGAATGGCCTGTGATTAAAATTATTCAAACTTGATTGTTGATGATGATACGGGACATGAGGTGCTGGCCTTACCATTACGTAGTAAACTTTGTAAACACCTTTAGAATGTCCAGAAAAATTACACATGCATAGGTGTGCATGCACACTACCATCCTCGTGCTCAATTTTGAAGGAAATTGTTTAAGCTCAGCTTAGCTGACAAGAGCAAATGTTCCCAGAGTAAACAACAGTCTGTGAAATAACAAGCCACTAGATGTAACACGTGAGACATTCCTCCTGCACACACACACACACACACACACACACACACACAGTTTAATTGAGGTGTAATTTACATAAAACATTGTATAAGTTTAAGGTAAACAATATATGATATGAACACTCATATACTGCAAAATGTTTACCAAACCCTTCACCTCACACCAGTTACCATTTTATTGTTTTGGCAAGAATATTTAAAATCTACTCTTTGACCAACGGCTCCTCATTCCCCCGCCCCCCAGACCCTGGTAATTACCCATCTGCTCTGTTTTGATGAGTTCAGCTTTTTTAGATTCAAGTGACATCATACTGTATTTTGTCTTTGTCTGACTTATTTCACTTAATGTAAGGCCTTCAAGGTCCATTCATCTGTCAACAATGGCAGAATTTCCTCTTTTTTTGAAAATTCGTTTTCTAGAATTTCCTTCTTTTTTAGTGCACTGTGTATATATAACAATTTTCTTTATCCATTTATCTGCATACTCTTTAAGATGTTTTCACATCTTGGCTATTGTGAATAAGGCTGTAATGAACATGGGGGTGCAGCTCTCTCTTCAACCTGTTTTCATTTTCTTTGGTTATATACCTAAAAATGGAATTGCTAGGTCACATAGTAGCTCTATTTTTAATTTTTTGAGGAACCTTCATACTGTTTTCCAGAGTGGTGGCACCAGTTTGCACTCTTATCAACAGTGCACGGGGTTCCCTTTGTGAGGAGCTCTTTTTAAAAAAATATATTTTATTGATTTTTTACAGAGAGGAAGGGAGAGAGAGGGATAGAGAGTTAGAAACATTGATGAGAGAGAAACATCGAACAGCTGCTTCCTGCACATCCCCTACTGGGAATGTGCCCGCAACCAAGGTGCATGCCCTTGATCGGAATCGAACCTGGGACCTTTTAGTCCACAAACTGATGCTCTATCCACTGAGCCAAACCGGTTTCAGCAGAAGAGCTCCTTTTTAATGTAAAAACTTGACAATGGCTTTATGAAGGGAGAGCGCTCCATTATTTGGTTCAACTTTTAACAGAGCATTTAATGGTCCCTAAATGAGGCAACGAGAGCCCCATGAACAGAAGGTCTGACTCATTCTGAAGTGGAACACAAACTACTTGCCCAGCACTAGAGTTAAAACTCACCCTAGGTTGCTAATCTGGGATCAGCTGTGCAGTGGCCGTGGTGTGGGTGTTGATTCTACTTACGGCCAAGTGAGAGCGAGGTTCTGAGCTCAGCACCTGAGGCCTTGGCAGCAGGAAGCCCTTGGACCACATGGAATTACTCTCTGCTTCCAAGGATCCTCTTATCCATCACTGTATTTTATCCTTAAAAAATAAAGTGGCCAAACTGGTTTGGCTCACTGGATAGAGCGTCGGCCTGCAGACTGAAAGGTCCCGGGTTCGATTCCGGGCAACGGCATGTACCTTGGTTGCGGGCACATCCCCAGTAGGGGGTGTGCAAGAGGCAGCTGATCAATGATTCTCTCTCATCGATGTTTCTAACTCTCTATCCCTCTCTCCTCCTCTCTGTAAAATATCAATAAAATATATTTTAAAAATAAATAAATAAAGTGGTTTTACAATTTCCAGTGTTAAAAACACAAGCACTACCCAAGTAGCAGATGCCAAGAATCACTGTAAACAACATAACAAATCTTCATTAAAAGAATTCTAGGGCTCAGCCAGCCTGGCTCAGTGATGGAGCATCAGCCTATGAACCAGGAGGTCACGGTTCGATTCCTGGACAGGGCACATGCCTGGGTTGCAGGCTCGATCCCCAGTGGGGGGCATGTAGGAGGCAGCCGATCAATGATTCTCTCATCATTGGTATTTCTCTCTCCCTCTCCCTTCCTCTCTGAAATCAATAAAAATATATTTTTTTAAAAAGAATTCAAGAAATACATATTTTAATTTCACATCTTCAATGAGATGAATAGATTGGGGTGAAATTATACAGTGGAAACTGCAATGAAAAAAAATATGGGAAAATATACCTTCCTCTCTTCTCCCCTCCAATCCCCCCCTTAAAACACCCATCACAAGTCCCACTGCCATGTGCTTCTGACCCATCAGCTGTAGGTCCGCAGCTCCAATGATCCCCTCCTTGAGTTGGATTAATCTGCAAAAGCAGCTACGAGAACTCAGAGAAACATATTACTGACTAGATTAGCAATTTATCAGAGAGGATCTAACTCAGGAATAGCCAGGCAGAAGCAATGCATAGCAAGAGGTAGAGGAAAGGGCACAGAGCTTCTTCCGTGGTCTCTCCACATGTCCACCGACCCAGCTCTCCCTACTCTGTCCTTTGATGTTTTATGGAGGCTGCATTACACAGGCATGATGGATTCAATCATTGGCAATTGTTGACTGGTTCAAACCCAACCCCTCTCCCCTCCCCAGAGGTCAGGGGTTAGGACTGAAAATGCCAACACGCTAATCCCATGGTTGGCTCCCCATTCTCAGGTGCACCCAGACTGGAACATTGGGCCCTGGGAAATATTGCGAGACAAATGACTGTCAGAACCTTACTGGTTCCTCCTGGGCCATGCCATCCCTCCCACCCATCCTTCCTCCATCATGAGAATCACTCTGGGGTGGGGGGGAGGGGGAGGCGCGGGAGTCAGTTTTCTTCTTATATCTAGTGTCTCCCTCTGTGGAGTCTCCTGTCAAGTTCACAAACATTCTGTCCATGGAAATTTGGGATCCAAAATGAAGGAACAAGCAGGCAGAAGTCAACTGGTCATAAAATTACCCTTTACACCTGAAGTACTCAGTTATCTCCAAGAGTACAGCTTTCAAGGCACATAAAATACCAAGTTATTGTTTGTTTGTTTTTATAGGATTTGAACAGCAGTTTGGTCCTTTTTGGGGCATTCGTTTCATGCTGTCCACTTTATATATATATATCTCGAGCACCCGGACCCCTCCTTCTAAGTAATACAAGAATGTTCCTTTAAGGCAGGATTTAGAAAAACACACAAGTGCCCATAAAAATTCATTTTACTTGAATATTAATCCTTCCACTTTCCTCATTTTTCCACTTCTCATATACTCAGCTGCTCAAGTGAATTATGCTCCCCTTGTCAACTGCCCGCCCGGCTCTTATCTCTGCCATTTGGAAATGGACTTCTACTTCCGGGAGGTGACACCCAATGAAAAGGGAGGTGACCTGTCTCCGGCTGGGCAAGGAGTCAAGAGGTCAGCCCACATGTGCTGCACCATCACCTGTCAGAGCCTTGCACCTGCTCCTCCCACCCCAAAGCCCTCTGAATGACAGCATGGTTAACCCTTCAGGAATGTCCCAGCAGAGTTTCAGGGCCCAGGGTCGCCCTGTTCTCCCCAGCAGTGCTGTTCCTGCCCCAAAACAAAGCCTTAAAGGAAATCCTTGATGAAAACGCCCCTCTTTTTGCTTCCAATCCACCCTTCTTTCTTCACTTCCGGTCCTCAGGCATTGTCACAGGGCACCTATTCAGGTTGCCCAATATAACAGCAAGATGTGAGCTATTTCTTAAACAAGTCCTCACTGGATTTGCTTGGATTTTCTTTTCCCATTCTTGTAAATTCCTACAGGACTTGCGTCCCTGTCACTAAAATATCATTTCAGAGCTCTATCTTGGCGGCTCCGTCTCCTCTCCCCTCGGTCCCCCGTTAGCCACAACACTGAGAGGAAGTCTCCTACCTTTCACTGAGGCTTCTCCACAGCTGTGCACCTGCAATGAGGAGAAGGGAAAGGTGAAACTTAACCAGGGCATTTTCCTCTGGAGGCATTTCTCATCTTAGAAACACTCTGACCTATTTAAAATGCAATGCTTATGTTTTTAAACTCTAGAACTTTGCAATCATACCTTGTATATCTCTGATATCATAACTAATTCAAGCAATTAACCCACACATACTTACTGAGAGACTACTACAGGCAAAACACCTGGACAGGTACCTTGGGAGAGGGAAAACCATATACCATATGGTCCTGTCTTGAGTGGTGCAGCCAAAATTTTACCTCAAGTAAATGCGAACCAAGGAAAAAACTACACAAACAGCGCAAACCATGAGAGTCCTGGGAAGACAGAGCACCTGTAACAGAGTGGTACTTTTGGTGGTGGTTATTGTTAATTATCACCTGAGAATATTTTTTCCTTTAATTTTCAGAGAGAGTGGAAGGGAGGGAAGGGGGGAGAGAAGAAGAGGGAGGGAGAGGGGGGAAAGAGAGAAATGTGGATATGAGACACATCAATTGGTTGCCTTCTGCATGCACTCCAACAGGTTGAGGATTGTACCTGCAACCCAGGTATGTGCCCTCCGGTGTATGGACCGATGCTCTACCCACTAAACCACATCAGCCAGGGCAAAAGAGACATGATCTTTGAAATGGCATTTAACGTGATCTTTGAAATGGTGCTGACAAACGGGGCACTAAGACATTTTATTTGAGAAAGGGGTGTTTTATTTATTCATTCTTTAGGTATTTTGAGCTTATATCTAGGCTCAAATAAAACTAACAGAAAAAATATATACATAGATCTCATTTTCTTTCTTAATTCCCCAGTAACTTTCTTCACTAGATTATACTTTAATATTAAACTTTCAACTATCAGCTTCAATGAAAAGGCTATAAGACAGTTTCAGCATTTACCATCAAATGACAAAGATGTCTCCTTCAGTGTTCTCTACCAAAGATCTATGTGACAAGTCCTACTTAAAATTTAACCCCAGGAAAAATGTTCCTCAAAATTGCCTGCATCCTTTCATCAGACTATTAGAATGGTACATCTGATTTGGTTTCCCTTGTTGCCTTGGCTGCCAGTAAGCCCAGACAAATCTGTTGCTCCATTATGGTCACCATGTTAGACTCCTGTTCTTCTACTAGACCTCTTGTCAGCAATCTTAAGTTCCTTATAGGCTGCCTCAGCTATTTTGGAGTTAAATGGAACATCAAAATAAACAATACAAAATACAAGGAATTATGCACTGGAGAGGTCTCAACAAATGTTGGAAAGTTGGATAAGCTAAAATCCTAGAAGTACCAACTCCCCTTGTCAAATAACATTTCTCTGACAACACTGGAGCCAAGAGTGGGGAAAAGAGGTAACGGTACTGGGTGTTGCCTTGTTATTAGAAATTGGAAAAATGAGCATGGCTGCTCCCATGGAGAATAGTAAGGACAGTGGCACTGCAATCACAGAGCACAGACCAGGCTGGGGCTGCCCAGGGCTGAGGGACAGTGCAGTGTAAGAAGCTGAGCAGGAAAACACTTGAACTATGCACCAAGAGCTGGTCCAACCGCAATGAGTGGCAGGAGCCTGGACAAAGAAGTCCACTGAAAACTGATCTTCAGCCTCTGCAGGGGTTGGAGACACTGTACTTTCCCAAGGCTAAGGTAAAACGGAGGCCACTAATATGTGACCGAACCCAGATGGTCATACAAGCCATCAGGGTACAAGTAGGAATGACAGGGAATGGAGGGGCACACAGGAATAAAGTGAATAGCCACGGTTCCTGTCAGGTCGTGTTGTGTAGCAACCAGCACGTGGCTTAAATGAGGAGTGCAGATTTTGCAGGAGGAAAGGGGTAAATAGAGACAGTGGGTGGAAATGCTACTCAGGTGGCCATGGGGAGCCCTTCTGAGCCCACAGCATCTTAAAGGGAGCTGGATGGGCAGTCGGTGCCTTAGCAATGACCGAGAGGAGGAAGTGGTCAAGGAGAAGTCAAGTCTAAGTGGTCATGGAGGTTGCCCATGCTGGTGAGTCGTAACAGACACTAGAAGGATCTCCATGCTTTGGCTCACCTAATTCACAGTAAGCATCTAAAACAGTATTCAAGCTGAAACTGGTTTGGCTCAGTGAATACAGTGTCAGCCTGCAGACTCAAGGGTCCTGGGTTCAATTCTGGTCAAGGGCATGTACCTTGGTTAGGGGACATCCCCAGTATGGGGTGTGCAGGAGGCAGCAGATTGATATTTCTCTCTCATCGATGTTTCTAACTCTCTATCCCTCACCCTTCCTCTGTGTGAAAAAATCAATAAAGTATACTGAAGAAAAAAAATAAAATAAAAAATAAAACAGTATTAAAATAATGAAGGAATACAATTAAATTCTTAACAGTGGACGAGTAATGTCTTTAGCCAAGTGGAGAAGTGGAAGGATAGCCGGAGACGGAGCAGCCCCCAGAACCCTGATGACTGGGTCCTCCTTTCCTCCTTGCGATTGCTGTCAGCCAAGTATCTAGTGAAAGCGGCTGGCAGTTCTGCTTGAGGCCTTGGTGTTCCTATAACTGCATCTGGATCTAATTTCAAGCCGATTCTGAGCCTCCCAGAGACCAATTCATCACAGCCGGGCCTGGGCCGAACAGCCTGCAAAGTCAGGCTCCTGCCAGCTATTTCCAGCCTCAGATGGGTCTTTGTCCTAAAAGGCCTGGCGGAGAAGACGAAGCAGGCACCAGTGTTTCTGCCATCATAGACTGGATAGTGCTGGAAAAGTACAGTCATTCATCCAGTTTCTCAGGTTTGTTTTTTCCATGGAGCAGAAATGCTGGATTCAGAGCAATGTGCCCAGTGAAAACCCTGACAGAAAGATTGGCCACTGACAGATGTCTGCCCCACTGGATGGAGCATAAGAGCTCCACTGGGTGGAGAGGCCAGGGGGTGTGTCTGAATTGCACCGGAAGCCCAGCACCTACACAGGCCCTGGCACAGAAAGGCCCTCACAGACTGCCTGATGAGGGAACCACCCCACGTTGCTCCCATTAAGTGGCAGAGTGGAACAGAGTAGACTGTTACTGTGCCCAAGGCACTTCTGTTTCACCCTCTTATTCAACCCTTACGTAGCCCTGGAGTAGGGGTTGGCTTCTCCCATTTCATAAGGTAAAGAGGTTCGGAGATAGTAGTAGGCTGAATCATGGCTCCCAAAGACATCAGGTTTTAACCCCTGGAACCTGTAAAATGTTACTTTCATGGACAAAGGGATTTACCAGATGTGATTAAGCTAAGGGTCTTGAGATGGGAGATTATCCAAATGGGCCCCAAATACAGTCAGTGTTCTTGTATGAGAAGGGCAGAGGGAGATTTGACACAGACAGGAGACAGTAATGTGATCATGAAGGCAGAGACTGAACTGATGTGGCTACAAGCCAAGGACATCAGCAAATCCAGGTAGAAAAGGAAGAGATCAGAGCCTTCCATAGAGCCTCCAAAGGGAACAAAGCCCTGCTGACACCTTGACTTTGGCCCAGGGATGCTGATTTTGGACTTCTGACCTCCGGAACCATGTGTAAAGAAATTTCTGTTGTTTGGAGCCACCACGTTTGTGGTAATTTTTTAGGGCAGCCATTGGACATGAATACAGCCTATGACGGGTCTCTCCACAGCTAGGAAATGGAGTGAATCAATTCAAGAATTAGACCCTTTAGGTTACAAGTCTCCCAACTCTGCCACCTTAATTTTTTTTTTAAGGACCAAATCCTTGTAATTCGTGAATATGAAAGTTCCATATTTGCAAGAACGTGAAGCAATGAGTCAGTGCTGAACACAATCTCTGTGCAAGGGGCCAAGTGTGAGAGAAGGACAGTTAAGAAGTCTTTCAGCTTCATCGTGGGCCTTCCACATTTGTCTGTTCCTTGTAACACATGCTGGGACCAAATCGGATGCACCACTGAAAATATGGAGATGCTCAGCTTGCTCTGTGAGTCCACTTCTGCTACTGAGCTAAAATGACTAGGGATAAAATTTGTCAGTGGCTATTTCTACTAAGATTTCCAAGAGGAAGGTTCTGGAGGGTGGACATGTGACAAAGTATATTTGAGAAAACCAGGCTCTCCTCTCCCAGTCAGGAGTCAAGGCGGAGACATGGGGACCACCACACACTGATCCGCCGACCCTGGTACAAGATCCCATAGCACTGAGATGCTCCACCTCGGGGCGGCCTTCACACATCTGGGTCAACAGAGAGCATCAGGGCTGGTGCCTGTTAGGGTTAAAAGTTAGGAGTCTGTTTTCTGACACAGAAGAGGGGATTAGGGAAGAAAGAGGAGAAGAGAGGGTGAGAAGGAAGAACACATCCAAGAATATAATCTAAATCAGTGGTGGAGCACATCCGGCCTGCGGGTCCTCTAAGACCACAGAATCATTTGGCCTGGCCCTGCCAAGGCATTAGGGGTGAGTTAACTAAATGTTGGACCAAATAGAGCAGGCTAATTTTTAAGTTGATAATTTTGTGTGATGTTATAAATATTCAAATGGCCCTTGGCAGAAAAAAGGTTCCCCACCTTTGGTCTAAATCTACAGATCCATGAAAAGCAATAACTGGACAAAAACAAGTTTGTTCACCTTCCCAGAACACTAGAATGAAGAAATTTTAGTTTAAGAACTATAAAGACTTAAAATATAAACTGGATTGCAGTCCACACCATGATAGTCAATGCGTAATACCTGATACCCCTGGTCTCAGAGTTGGCATCAGGAGAGGGAATAAGAAATACTGTACCCCACAAAGAGGCCTCAGTGCCCCCGTTGGGGCTAAAACTCTGGGCAGGTCTTACGCACGTTCATCATGTGAACCCCAATCAAAATTATCTGTCCACTTGGAATTACGGGTAGTGAAGTCAAACACCTAAATATAACGTTCTCTTAGCTATCTTTGATCAAATCAATCTTACCACATTCACGGGGCTCAATTATTCCAAGGAGGGATTTTTGCCCATTTGCAAAATAAGCTCAAACCCTGGTAGAAGAGGACCCTCCATGTATGAAAAAGCTTGGCTCAGATTTATGATAAACTATGTTTTATTTATGAAAAAGCAAAAAATAATGTTCTCACTTTTAAACTTAATGTTTATAATTCATTTTTCATCAGCAACTACATTTAAAAAAATGTTAACCATTACTTACTTGTTTTTTAAGCCCTGAATTATTTGTTGTTCATTTTGAGGTAGAAAAAAAATTTACATAAACCAGTCCATTTTTGAATGGCCCACTTTCATCATGTAGTATGTGATAAATATTTAACTGTTATCATCACTGATATCCTTAAATATCAAAATGATAGTTAAATAATAGTGCTTAGAGCTAAAAGAGAAATCAAAACATATAAACCTTTTGCCCAAGAGCAGTAGCTATGAGTAGGGACAACATCAGTTAAATAAATAACAAATATTAAATAAATGTTTAATAAATAAATACTTAATCAACATTAAAAGTAGCAAAGTCAATGCCTGTATCACCTGGCTTCCTGGTCCTTTTCAAAGGACTTCTGGTTCAGATGCCTGCACAAAAATCAGACATTCAGGCTCTAGAAAACTAAACCCCATCATAGTGAATTCTGAGCTTTCTTACCTCTCTTTCTAGACAAAACCATATCCTTTATTATTTGCATAATAACTCGCCCAAGTATCGAGACGGCAATCAGGTGATACACTCTCCATGGAGTCAATGCAAGGAACCTATCAGAGAAAAACAGACAAATCATTTCGGTTTGAGGATTTTTATCTTTTATTTTTATTTTTTTTTTAATTAGGTTCAATTTCTGACACACACTCAACAATTTCACTTTTCATATCACCCCAATCTGAGCACATCCACGTCATTTAATAGGCATTGATGTCAGCAAAATAAAAGCACTTGATCCATGTGTACTTTTGTCCTAGGTTTTCTACTTTACCCTCTAATTTTGGCAGAGAATCTGCTTTCCTGGGCGCAGCCCAAATTTCGCTCTGCTAACAGATAGAGAATGGAATTGACCTGAACCAGAATTATGATAGGCTGCAAAGGCAGAGCTACCGGGCTCAATACAAACAGAGAAGCCACAGTAGAAGCCCTGTCCTCCATTTATGTTTTACTTTTATGCCATCTTCATTTCTTTAACTACTGTACCCTCCCCGCCAATCTCAAAAATAGCAGTTATTAAGAATTCAATTTGCTAATAACCACTTCTCCTTAAAATCACTACCCTTTTGTCCGTTTGCCCACCTCCTCTCCAGAGAAAAACAAAGAATCCTTTATCTTGAACAGCATACAGACCCTACAGCACTTTTTAAAAAATGGACTTATCAAGGAATGGAATGGCAAAGTCACAAGGAGCTCTGGAGGCTTCCTATGGAGGCTGAAGCCCATTTTACACTAGTCAATTGGCCAAGCTAATAATGATATGAACATTCATGTAATCATAATTCATAGAAAATTAACTTAACAAATGCATCGTGTACTGCTAACTGCAAGGCATTGTAGAGATTGTAGAGAGCTACAGAACATATGAGCACTGCCTTCTGGAAACTTACTTCCTCATCAGAGAGACTAAGACAGATGAGCTAGCCAAGTACCTCGCAAGGAGTCTGTCTAGGAACACAGGTAAACAGCTCCGCACACGGCATGCCCGTTTCAGGGACACCATATCCTGATGTCATCCCAGGGACACACCACCCACTTGTATTTCTTTCTCTTTTTTTTAATGTATTTTATTGATTTTTTACAGAGAAGAAGAGAGAAGGATAGAGAGTTAGAAATATGGATGAGAGAGAAACATCGATGAGCTGCCTCCTGCACACCTCCTACTGGGGATGTGCCTGCAATCAAGGTACGCTCTATCCACTGAGCCAAATGGGTTTCGGCCACTTATATTTCTTATTCAATGATGAAATGCTGGGGGAAAAAATCACACAGCCAAAACCCATTTGGCTCAGTGGATAGAGCACCCGCAAGGATCCCAGGTTTGATTCTGGTCAAGTGCATGTACCTTGGTTGCAGGCACATCCCAAGTAGGGGGTGTGCAGGAGGCAGCTGATCCAGCTGATTGATGGTTCTCTCTCATCCATGTTTCTAACTCTCAATCCCTCTCTCTTCCTCTCTGTAAAAAATCAATATATATATATATATATATATATATATATATATATATATATATATATATATATATATATTTTTAAATAATCACACACTACCCAGAGCTGGGTGTAGACTCGTCACTGTAGTTTCCAAGGATGCATTAAGTGGCAGAACAGTGAGGACACTCTTGGTCAGTCCCTATGAGAGGCAACACTGGGACAGGAGGTTCAAAGCCAGGGATCATACCCTACTTGATGCATCTGCCCTGACTAACAAAGGTGGGAAATGTTTTCAAAACCTACGTTTTTTTAAAAAGGGGGGAGTTTGTGGTGTGTCCAATGGCAGGCTTTCTAGTTGCTGGCAAAGAAGGGGAGAATCGTGACCCGTTATTCCCAGTGCTTGGGGAGCAATGACTCCTTGCTGCTCTGTGGCCAAACCTGAGGCACGGGAAAAAGTGGCTGCAAATATCTGAGTATCAATATTAGTATCAGGAACGTCCACTGTGGGTCCACATGCCAATGGACACTGAGTCTATGTCATCCCAAGCAGAAAAGCCATTTCTCATTCTTTCCTAAGGGCCCAATTAAAAAGTAGCACAGAGACAAAAACAAACAGGAAGACAGAGATAGAGACAGAGACAAAGATACAGAGATACAGAGACAGGGCATCCCTATGGATGAGTTTACAGGCCTATGTGGTCTGGCTGCCTCACAGGCCTCAGTCTTATAACACTCTATACCCTATTTCTAGAACATTCCAAACTGAGAGTGAACCAGGGTTTAGAATGAATGTCTTCTGATGGCTGTCAATTCTTCAGGTTCTCCCAACTTTAGTATCAATATTAGTATCAGGAACGTCCACTGTGGGTCCACATGCCAATGGACACTGTCCAGATGCATTTCGATGACAGGACAACCTCAAGCCCAGAGTCTATGTCATCCCAAGCAGAAAAGCCATTTCTCATTCTTTCCTAAGGGCCCAATTAAAAAGTAGCACAGAGACAAAAACAAACAGGAAGACAGAGATAGAGACAGAGACAAAGATACAGAGATGGATCCAGGAGGTCCCTGATCTTGGGACCTCCTGGATCCATCAGCAGGTTCAGGAAGCTAGGCAAGCAAAGATCCGGTTCAGGCAGCTTATTCTGTCATCCCCCGTGCCCCCTTCTCCCGCCCCCACCCCCCACCCTTCACACACACACCCCAATGGAGGGGGTGTGTATACTAGGTTTGGGCTCCTTTCTGCTGTAAAGTTATTTTTTATTTAAAATAATACTTTAATGTCTTCTTTTACATTTAGTGATTTTTAAAATAAGTTTCAGTAGATGGCACAAAATGTAACAGAACATTTTTCTGTGGGAAACTAGGATTCTGGAAAGGCCGCACAGGGCCAGGCACTGGCTTGAGTGCTTCCTGTCCCTCAAGGCTGCTGTCTCCCTGATCCTCACTGTTATTCTTTGAGGCCCTCACCTTTTACAAATGAGGAAACTGAAGCTCAGAAGATTGAGCCACTTAACTGGGTTCACCTTACTAGAAGCTAGTTCACACCTCATTTCAGAACCCCTTAATCCCCAGCCACAGACACACACACACACACACACACACACACACACATGCATATACTTGCCCATCTCCGTGTTTGTTTCCACTATATTTTAGTCCAAAAAGCAGTGGAGAGAGCCAAACTATCTACAATCCCACAAAATAAATGCAAATAGATAAGAAAATTGGCAAGGGGAAAATAAAAAAGATTACTCAATTCTGAGGCTAGCCTGCAAGAATTCAAGCCATGAGCTGAAATGCAAGAAGAAAACCACAAACAGGGATCCGAGAAGACCTCTTCAGGCTACGACTTCATGTTTCATCATGAGAATCCCTTTTACCCCAATCACAGAAGACAAACTAACACAGAGCTCATTTCCATATCTTCTTAACAGGAAGCACAGCAAAGGACTGAGCACAGCAGCCAGTACACAGACAGCCACCCAGACTCCCTTTGAGAGGCAACACCACCCTGACTTGTTAGAAGTGACTCTGGGGGGATGTTTGCTTGCTTTCCAGTCTTTTCATTGTTTGCCAAGGCAGAGCTGTAAACCAGGAAGAAAGAGAAGTGTTGATTGGGAGTGTGCCAGCAGGGAACAAAGCCACCTCCTCACGCTGGGTTCAAACTCATGTGGGTGTGTCAGAGGCGCTGCCTTTGCCCAGCAGGTCTGCCCATCCCCGCTCCCTCTGTATGCCCACATAGGGCAGTGCCAGGGGTAGAAACAACCCTAACAACTTTCTCTAATTAAACAAGGGAGACAAAGCCGTCCCTCAGCACAGCCCTAACCAAGCTCCAACGGAAAACATATCTCTGCTGATCATTCCACCTGAGACTTCCAGGCCCATATTAACTCTCCAAACAAGACAGACAACGCCCGTGAAAAACAAGGCGGGGAAGAAGAAGAAAAGAATACATAATAAGGAAAGATGACCGTTTCCCATTAAGTTCTCCACGTGAGCGCCTTAGCTTCTGTGCTTTTAACATTTGCCCTTAAGCACAAACAAGAAAAGAAAACGCCTCGGTTCAACCACAAACGCAGTCAACAGGACTCTGAGGCTGGAATAGAACAGGATCCACATTTTCTTCACAGGCCTGTGCTGCTACCAGATTTGAAGAGAATGAGAGGTAAAATCCAAAAGCCGGGCAAAGGCACAGAAGTGAGTCAAGATACCATCCCATGGACAACGGTCACACTCGTTAGCCACACATGCTGAAAACCATTCTCCCTGGCAGACGGCAATCAACTTAGAGCCTTCCACTGCTTTCCCGGAGTAATGCTTTTTCCTTCTTAGTACTCATCTTGATTCCTACTTGTCCATCTGTCTGTCCGTTGTTTACCATTTCCTGACACCACTCTGCAAAGTTCATGAGGGAAGGGTCCAGTCTCCTGTTTGCTGATGTCACCCCAGCAATTGGTCACTAACTGGCCAACAGCAGGTGCTCAATAAATACATTTTGTATTGTTGTTTATTCAATGTATGTTAAATGACTGTGCATCAATTAATGCAAATAATCATGCATGTAACTGACATAATCATCAAGGATTAAATCCCTAAAGCACACTATTATAACAGTAACCGTTTGCCAAAATGAAAAAACAAAAATGTATGGAGGAGCATAAAAAGTTCCACACAATTTTTTGAAGACCTTCCATGAAGCAACTGAGAACATGAACTTGGGTCCTTGGCTTAGATTAATATTTCTCTTTAAGGGAAGACCGGGCTTCTCAGTACTATTGGATGTCAGTCTGTCTCTCTTAACTGCCACCGGGCCAAAGCCCTGTTGTGAGGATGTGGTTGGTCAAGTCAAAGGGATGGTGCCTCGATATCTCATGCATCCTCGTCTCCATAGGCGCAGCAAGTCTAAGAAGCCATGCTTACAGGGAAAGTTATACCAATGCACAATATATGTTTGGGAGTTCTTCTAACTGCCATCCTCTATATTTTTATTTTATTTATTTATTTATTTGAGAGAGAGAGAGAGAGAGAGAGAGAGAGAGAGAGAGAGAAAGAGAGAGAAACATCAATTTGTTGTTCCACTTATTTATGCATTCATTGTTGATTCTTATATGTGCCTTAAC